TGAAGGGCAGGTTGGATGGGGCTTGGAGCAACCTGGGCTGGTGGGAGGTGTCCCTGCCCATGCAGGGGGTTGGGACTGGATGATCTTTAAGGTCCCTTCCAACCCAAATTATTCTGTGAGTCTACAACCCGGGTGCCACCTCAGCCTCTCCCTCTCCTCCCAGAATGGCTAAACCTGCCACTACAACCAGTCAGAGCTGCTGGCCCAGCTCTCTGGCTATGTCCTGCTGCAGCCGGGCAGCCCCGCGGCGCTGAAGGCCGCGCTGGCCAAGCACGGCCCCGTGGCCGTCAACATCGATGCCTCACACAAGTCCTTCGCCTTCTACGCCAACGGCGTCTACGAGGAGCCCCTCTGTGGTGAGTCCAGCCGCCCTGGAGGCCCCAGGTCCTGCTCCTCAGGGCTGGGAGAGGCAACGGTGTTTGCAGGGTGGGATTGGCCTCCCCGCTGAGCTCCCAGCGGGGGATTCGGGGCCACTCGCTGCATCCTCCTGCTCCAAGGGAGGAGGACTGAGATGGCTCCGTTTTCTTCTCTCCTCCTGGCCAGGAAATGAGGTGTCAGCTCTGGACCATGCAGTGCTGGCCGTGGGCTACGGGGTCCTGCATGGCAAGAGCTACTGGCTCATCAAGAACTCCTGGTCCACGTACTGGGGCAACGATGGCTACATCCTCATGGCCATGAAGGACAACAACTGTGGCGTGGCCACTGCTGCTTCCTTCCCCATCCTGGCATGATAGGACACGGCCCCATGTGTGTCCTGTGCCCTCCATGTCTCCCTGAGCAGCTCCAGATGGAGAAGGGCCTGGCAGAGGGATGTGGGACCCCAGGAGGTGGCTGTGGGGCACAGGGGGGCAGCTCAGCTGGGAGGTTGGTGGATACTCCCAGGCCTCTGGAGAGGAAATTTCCCATTTTGGCAATAAAAGCCTGCAGAAGTGATCCTGTCTGTCATCTGGGGTGTCTTCTGCTTCCCTGACCCATCCCATGCCAACCACAGCCTTCTGCAGCCCTTTGTGTGATGAGTTTCAGCCAGTGCTCAGCCCAGGCTCAACCCTGGTTGGGTTACACGCATCCTAACCCTAGAGTTTTTTGTACCACCCCCAGAAATGTCACCAGCCCCTTCCCCAGTAATGGGAGGGAGCCTGAACCCACCCTGAGAAGCTGGGCTGGGCTCAGGGCCCTTCTGTTCTCAACTGGACTCTGCCCCATCCTGACAACCAGCATCACACCAGGAATAAGGGAGCTGCCCCCACCAGAGAACATGGTCCCCACTGTCCAGGGCTTCTTGGGACACCTGGGTCCTCTGCTCAGCCTGTCTCCAGGCTTCTACATGGGTCAGTGCTTGGTGACTCAGTTTCCCCATTCATCTTGGGGGGAAACCTGGGGGTTTCCATACCACTGCCCCCAGGAGGAAGGGAGCCCAAATGGACCCAAAGCTCATTTCACCCAGGACACTTCAGGGGGTGTTTGTCCAACCACCAAGGAAGCAGTGGGGTTCAGAGATGTCATGTTCCTTTCATCTCTGCCACTTCACCCCAAAACTTCACAGCCACAGAGAAGCCTGGGTGAGAGCCAAGGGGTCAGCAAGGCCTGTGCTGGGCAGCAGGGGGTGGGAAGGTTCATTCTGGGGGTTCTGGTCATGCCCACCCTGGGGAGAGAGTCACACAGACAGCATGGGTGGGCAACCCAAGCTCCCAGCTGGGAGCTGTTGGCACTACCAGCCTCTGCCTGCCCAATTAGAGAGAGCTTAATTAGACAGAGCCCAATTAGCAGCTGGGCAGGTGGGGAGGGGAGCCTACAAAAGGAGAAGAGACAACCCTGGTCTGTGTCAACCATTCCACAGCCTCCATCCTCCCAAAAACACCTTTTGGGCAGCCGAGAAGCAACATCCCCCCGTGGTTCCACCTTCCTCAGCAGGAGCCACTGGCACGTCCTTCCAGCAGATGGGATTGCTCCAAATCCAGGGTGGCAAGTCCTCCTATTTCCTTGTTTTCTTTCACTCCTTCACCTGCTTCTTTTCCAATTTGCTGCCTTGATTCTTTTTTTCTGAAGGGTTTTTTAATCACCCTGAGCGGGGGGTGCTGACTCGAATCCACCTCTGGGAGAGCAAATCATCACTTGCCTCAGGAATAATGTGGTTTATTCAGTGGGAGTCTGGGTCTCCAGGTCTTTGATTCTCTTGATTGCAGTCAATAAACCATTGCTTTGACTTTCAGGGAACCGTGACTTTCAGGCTCTCTTCTTGGGAAGGTGATGTGGGGAATTTGCTGCTGAACACGCAGGCTGGAGGGTTTTTGCAACCCCAGGAAGCACTGAGAAGGAGCTTGAAATGTTACATTTGTGGCATGAGGGAAAGCAGTTCTGAGCTGGGGTGGTTCAGGAACTTCCAAATAATACTGAAAAAATCCATTTCTTACTTAAAAAAAAAAAAAGGGGAGGGGGAGAAAATAAGAAAGGACACACCTGAAGAGAGTTTTGCTGTTTCCAGAGCCAACCTTGGGTTCTGGCTCCCATCCCAGCTGAGCTGAGCCCTCCAGACTTCCCTCAACACCCAAACCATGGAGTCACTCCAGGTTTTGCTGAGTGAAGCAAAGAACAACCACCTTGATCCTTGTTTTTTGGCTCTCTGGAAGCAAAGCTGGCCTGAAGGTGAGCACTGAAGGTTTCCTTTGGAAGAGGCCTTGGTGCCCAGGTTCCCTGCATCTCCAGCCTGCCAGCTCTGTGGGAAACTGCCCAAATTTCATACCTGGATGGTGAAATATCAGCTGAGGTTGGTGCTTTATGGGCAGCAAACACTGTCCAGAAGGTGAAAGCCAGGAGGATCTGGCACCTATCTCCTCTTGTCCCTCTAAGAATCTCATCTCCTCCTTGGTCTGCAGGGTGAAGCAGCTCAAGGTGGCTCCAGAGGTCAGGTTCATGCTGAAAGTCCTTGGTGATCAGCTTCTAGTCCTCCACCCTGTCCCCTACTTGGTTTTTCTCATGGGCCTCTGCCACTTTCAGGGTGTCCTCCTTGTTGAGCTGCCCCTGTCCTGCCTGTTGAGCTGCCAACCACAAAGTTGGTGCTGAGGTGCTTAAACTGGGCATGGGCAATGTCTGCCTGGGAACTGATCCCTTCAGGGGCTTCTGTGCAGGAGGTGGGAGTCCACTTGGCCACTTCCCAGGCCTTCTCCAGCCTCCCAAAATCTTGTCCATCCTACTTGATGCTTCTTGAGGAATCCACCCATGAAGATGCCACTGACTGTTGAAGTCACCACCTCCCAGGTGAGTGTCCCCCTGCCTTTCACCTCCAACAGTGTCCCCATCCGTGGTGAAGACCATAGAATGGTTTGAGTTGGGAGGGATCTTGAAGATGGTGGGAATGGAAAATGGAGCTGCTGATGTTCCTCCTGGTCTGTATTAAAGACAAGGACACTGTCTCCTCCCTCAGGGTGTTGGAGTTTGGGTCAGGGCTGGGGACATTGTCCTTCTCAGGACCCTCAGCACAGTGATGCCAGCAAATACCCAACAGCTTTATTTTTTTTGCCCCATCCCTGGCAGTGTTGAAGGGCAGGTTGGATGGGGCTTGGAGCAACCTGGGCTGGTGGGAGGTGTCCCTGCCCATGCAGGGGGTTGGGACTGGATGATCTTTAAGGTCCTTCAATCCAAACCAGCCTGGGATTCTATGATCTTCAGTGACTCAGCTCAGGGAGTCACTGAGCTGACCCAGCACAGTGATTATCATTCCCTCCTCCTGCATCCAACTCACCCCTTGGGATGGGAACCTTGGGATAATCCCAGCTCCCTGCTGGGCTCCAACCCCCCCACCCACCCTGGCAGGGCCCAGCACCAGGCAGGACACGGGGAGTTAAGACACACAAACCCTTCCCAAGAGCTCTTTTGTTTCCACTCAAACAGCCTTTCTGGGGGTGAGAGCATCCAGCTCTGCAGGATCAATCTGGCTACACATCCAGCAGTTCAGGGTGGGCTGAGCTTGCCAAGCTCAATGATCCTCTGAGGACAATCCAGCTGGGATTTCAGGCAGGTTTGGGGTTGGTTGGGCTATTTTATTTATTTCTTTATTCATTTCCCCTGCCCTGGATCCAGCAGTTTCTCTCCAGAGGCAGCTGCTCTCCCAGACCTCTGTGCAGCAATGCCAGGTGGTCACAAAATGTGTTCCAGCCCCCAAACTGGCTGCATTTCAGCACTGGATGAATTATCTGTGAACAAAAAAAAAAAACACTCAACCACCCCTCTGGCAGCTCCCATAAAACAAGGTAATTATTCAGAAAGCAGGGGACAGGGGGAGAGCCAGGAGCTGAAAATATTATCTGTGAGTGATTTACAGAGACCCACAGATGGTGTCAGGGAACAGCAGCTGAAACAAAGATGCTTTGGCAACTTTTTGGCTCCCAAATGCTCCAGATGACCTAGGGAAGGCTGAGCTGGAGCTCCCAGAGCTCTGGGGAGGGGGCTCCTGGGGGCTTGAGGTGGGTGAGGACAGAGCTGGGTAGTTATGGGAGAGAAAGGAGAAGTGTCAAGAGAGCCCTGAAGTTCTATCGTAGTAAAAGCTATGACCTGAGGGAGGCCACCTTGCTTTTTGCTACTTAATATAGAATCAGACTGGTTTGGGTGGGAAGGACCTTAAAGATCACCTAGATCCACCCCCCTGCATGGGCAGGGACACCTCCCACCAGCCCAGGTTGCTCCAAGCCCCATCCAACCTGCCCTTCAACACTGCCAGGGATGGGGCAGCCACAGCTTCCCTGGGCAACCTGGGCCAGGCTCTCACCACCCTCACACCCAACAATTTCCTCCTCATCTCCAACCTCCATCTCCCCTCTGCCAGTTCTAATCCATCCCCCCTTGTCCTCTCCCTCCCTGCCCTTGTCCAAAGTTCCTCCCCAGCTTTCCTGGAGCCCCTTCAGGCCCTGGAAGGTGCTCTAAGGTCTCCCTGGAGCCTTCTCTTCCCCAGGCTGAACCCCCCAACTCTCCCAGCCTGTCATACATTAACAGGAATTTTTGGGGGTACAAATCTCTGCATCCAACATGATCTGAGCAGCCTCCCAAGCTCTGCAGATCCAGAAACAGCTTTGCTGCTGGAAAACCACCCAGGCAGTGGCTTTTTAAACGTTTCTTCTCACACTCCCTTCAGTAGCAGCTTTACAAATCCTCTTCCTCAGCTAAACGTGGTGGGTTGTGGCTTTTTTTTTTTCCTTCCCCTTGGCAAACGCTCCGGCAGGTTTGTTGTTCATGTTCTGAAAACAAAATCATCCCTTTTCCTCCAGCTCCAGAGATTTGCAAACCTCCCCTGTGACTTTCAGAGAGGTTTTCTTTCTCCTGGCTGGTGGGGGGTTACGTTTTCCAGCTGCACTGTCAAGCTCCTTCTGCTTCTCCAACCTCCCTCTCCTTCCTCCCCCTTCCCCAGAACCTCAGATCATCACAACCCCTCAACAACGAGGGTGTGTGTTGTGTTGTTTTTTTTTTAATTTCAAGCCAAATTCTGCCTCCTGCTTTCACCAACCACCACTTCCCAATCACCAGGCAGCACAAGGCAACGGATTTGATGAAATTAAGTATTTCTCCTCCACGCAGAGGATTTGCCCGGTGATTAGAACCAGTCCCCGAGGTAGAAGAGCAGAGAGAATTCCAGTGGAACATGCACACCCACGCAGCCTTCCCAAAAACCCAAGACACTCCCCCCCCTTCCCAGCCCTTTTTGGGAAAGGCACCGCAGTGAGCAGCTCATGTTTCAGCTTCACCACTTGTACAAGCTGGGACTGGGAATACTTTGTCATCTGGTGTGGTATAAAAGAGATTTAAAAAAAAAAAAAAGAAGGTGGGGGAAGAAGTTTCCCAAAGATTTCAAGGTGTCTCGGGTGGCCTGAAAGAGAGGAGGGTGAGAAAGGCCAGGAATTCCGGGCAGTGTGGGGAGAAAAGGGAGTTGTCAACATCACTGCGAGGGGTTGTTGCCTGTTTGTTCCCTCCTTTTGGAGCTGGAGAGTGAACTTTTCACTCCAAAATGCTGCAATTCCCCCAGTGGTGTGGGCAGGCAGCAGAGGCCTGAGCTCCCAGCACCTGTTCTGGGTCATACTGTAAAAAAAATGGCAATGATTTGGCTAAGGAAGAAGTGGAATTGTTTTTTTGGGGGGTGAGCTCGGCCCTGGTTGCAGCAACTGGAGTCCAACCTCGTCCCCTGAAATAAAACCCATCGCAGTGTCTGGAGCTGCAAACTGCAGCACCCTGGTTGTGGTGTAACCGCAGTGGGAAGGGATTTGCAACCCTGCCCCAAACCAGAGGCAGCTCCACCCGTGGAAATCCCGGCCTGAGCCCTGCACAGGAGCAGCTGCCCCAGCAGCAGCTGCACTCGGAGCAAAAGGGGGAAACAAGTTCATGTCAAGGTTTTCCTTTTGCTGCAGACGCTTCTTCCTCCCTCGTTCTCTCTTCCTCCAGTTCTCCTTCCCTCGACCTTTCAGGTTTTCCCTCTGGCCCCAGCCCTTCTGGCCCTGCTGCCCCCAAGGTGCAAACATCCTCCCCACCCTCCTGCTTCCTTTCTCCCTCCAGACCTCACGCCCCTGCACCCACCCCCGCCCAGCTCAGTCCCCTCCCCTGGCCCAGCTCAGCCCCCTCCCCTGGCCCAGCTCAGCCCCCTCCCCTATCCCAGCTCCGCCCGCCTCCCATTCTCAATCCGATTCTTCCTAGTAGCCATCCTATTCCTTCTATTCGACCTAGAAATCGCACTCCTACTTCCACTCCCCTGAGCT